GATTAACAACTAGTTTCTTAAATTGAATGCATAGCATCAGCACCAGAAACCAAGACTCCTGACCTTGAAGTTCAGGGAGCGTTTCATCTCAATGGCTCCTTCCCAGACAGCCACCTGTTGGCCCAGTGGCATTATTTTCAGAACTTTAAGGACATAAAAGGATTCCTTAACGATTACTCACTACCAGCACAATTACTATTTTGAAAAAGCAGAACATAATTACTGCTTTTACCTTCCAAGAATTTAGGAATAAAGTAAAGGGACTAAAATTTCTTCTGTCTTCTGAAATGTACTATATTTAGCTTAACTTCCATTTCCTTTTCTGATACTGCTGTGTAAGAGGTATCAGAACCATTGTAATAAAACATACTAATTTATTTTCAAGTATGTTACTTGAAATTAAGTGTATTATTCATATATGTTTATGTTATGCTATGCAAACTTGAAGTCATCTCATTTTTCTCCTGTATAAAAATGGCTTCTAAGTAAGTCATGGTAATGAAAGTTCTGATGTAGTACTATTTATTAATCATTCTTTTGTTCAATTGTAGTTCGTATGCTCTAGGAAGTGTTCAATGGGCTGGATAAGGGAAGAACATTTATATTAACCATTTGTCAAACCATTTGTCTCCATGGAAAAAATAGATACATATTCAATATCAAAGGACATACAGATTTTCTTCTTGTCTTGTTGCCTGATCTGCAAATAAATGCACTGTAGTTATAAATGCAAATTAAATATGTATATTTTTAAGATTCAATGACCATTTTACTAATATCTTCCTCATGAGAATTAGCAAATAGCAGAGAGAGAAAGATATAAATGAACATCATGCTAAAACTGTAAAGGAATTCATTATTCTATAAAGGATTTTGAAAGTACATGTATCACTTAAATTCAAATTTTTAAAAAGAGCTTAAAACGTGGACTTTAGGTCAATCTTAATTAGATTAAGTCATTATAGTAGCCAGCCCCCAAGTGAAAGATAGCTTCCTAAGGTCGATACTTAAGTCCTCTAGGATTGCATATTTATCCTTTTATTGCTGTGTTTGCTCACACGGCTTTTAGTCAGTGCCAGAAATCTCTCTGGTGCCCTGTGACAGACAAAATGCGTTCTCACACTTTGAATGTGTAAACTCGTGAGAATATAGTTTTCTTGTTTCAGTTTTTTGTTTGTTTTCTGTTTTGGTTAAGCTGGATCCCATTGCCTAAATCAGTGCCTAGGACATAATAATTGCCCAGTAAAAATTTATTAGATGAATTCTACTTTATTAAGCTGTGAAATCTTTTGTGTATCTGGCCTTAAGGTGATTTTGATATAACTAAAGAATATGGACAAAAGCCAAATGTTAGTATAGGTTCGTACATATCATCTTTACAAATTACCAGCTCAACACTAAATTTACCTGTAAAATAAAATGGATTTCTGAATGGCATTTAAGCATGCTCTTCTAGTGGTCAGAACATAAATAGTTTCTTTGGAATAGAGACTTTAAAATGATTTATTTTGGGGTGTTTCTTAATTACAATTGAGAAAAGCAGGTACCGTGCTAATTACTTAACACGACTTTGAGTTTCAGAACAGCACTTTTGAGGATGTCTTCCTATTAAAGATGAGATCATTGTCGTTAAGAAATGTGTTCGTGATATCACAGCAGGTGATAGAATTAGGATGGTCTACAAGCCTTTACTCTGTACTACCTCGTGTATTTAAGAAATAAGGCACAAGTGTTAGAGATTTGTTGTAGTGAAAAAAGTCTTTAAAGACCAAGTGTGAATTTTTTTTAGCCTAGCTGTATTTTTAAATTAGTTGGAGATGTGTAGGTTCTCTGTCTTGGTGACTGGAAGCAGAAAAGAGGTTTAATGATGTATTTTCTTCACACATTTGAGAAAGGGTTGAAGGGTTCTGGTAGCATAATGACAGAATCTGGTTCGTTTGAGCAGGATTAATCTGACAGTTGGACCTTAGGGTAGAGGCAGGGAGAACGAAGGAGGCTGTTGCCATGAGCATGGAAGACGTGACTGCTGGGCCTGGGGCAAGTCTGTTCCAGCCCTTGGGATGCTCTATCAGCACTTCCTGAAAGTGGTCACAAGGGGTTGAATTTGAATTGGGTCCTGAAAATAGAGTTAACCATGCTTTCTCAACGATTGGCTGTATGGAAAGGGAGGGAGGGAAGAGAAAAGAATGATTTCAAGGTTTTGGCCTAAAAAACTGGAAAAATTCAGTCACTATTTCTGAGATCAAAAGGCAGGAGGTTGGATGGAGAGGGCAGTGCATATCGAAAGTTTGTTTTGACCATTTTAGTTTTACACTTCCAAGTGGAGTCTAATTACGAAGAAGACTGTCATATTACCAAGTTGGGGTGGATATGTACAGAGCAGATGCAAGTCTGAGGGACCAGGCTGGAGACGGAAAGGTAGGAATCGTCAATACAGAAATGATCATTAAAGTCATGGGACTGAATGCGAACACCTGAGAAGGTCGAATATAGAGAAGGGGCTTAAGTCTCTGCAGCTCTGAGTTACTCCAGAACTCAGAGTTTAGATAATGAAAGGGATCAGCCAAGGGGCCTGATGAAGAGGAGCCAGTTAAGCAGGCGAATCCAGAGTGACATCTCACAAGTCAAGGGAAGGAAGTATTACAAAGACAGGAGGGAATGATCACACGCAGCCGATTTATCAGATCAAGTCCAGTGAGGTGGAGATTTGACCACAGAATTTCAAAGATGGAAGTCTACTGAGTAGACTTTGACCAGAATGGAGTCTATTACTGAAAACCATTTTGAAACCACTCGCCTGGAAAGTTCTTGCTTCTCTAAATCGTTGATTCTAATACAGACAAACTACCCTCTGGTCTATATAAATCTTATTGCAATATCCAGTATTGTTATGCTCAAACATTTCAGTCGGTCATACAGATATTGACTTTAATTACTTTCATGCTCATCGTTTAATTGATTGCCAGATAAAGCTTTTATAAAGTGTTTCACTTGATTTCCTTTTCTTTTGCTGTTATCAATGTATGGTGCAAAAGGCATGAATCTTGGAGGTCATTAGACTCAAGTTTCAATCCTAATTCCACCAACTACCAGTTATGCAATCTTAAGCAAACTGATTCTTTTAAATCCCAATTTCCTCGTTTGGAAGATGACAAGGCAATAACTATTTTGTATGGGTGTTAAGAACGACAGTGGGGTCGCTAGCATGTGTGGAACATCCAGTCAAATGTCCAGTAAACAAGGTAGTAGATTGTATAAGAGCCTGGGGTCCAAAGTCAGAGACTTCATTCAAATCCCAGCATGTGTGTACACTACATATGAAATCTTGGGCCAGTTCCTCCACTTCTCCTAAACCTCAGGCACCTTATCTACAAAATGGCCATAATAAAAAATGCCTACCTCTCATTGCATGTAAAAAAGTTTGAGTGATATTGCATGTAAATGAGTGATATTATATGCAATGGTATATTGCATGTAGAACTTTTAAGCGTCTTATGCAAAATGAGTGGTAAGTTTATTATTAGTACTTGGTATTGTTCTATTTTCTTATTATCCTTGATGTTACAATTATTAAAATAAATCCTTCATTTCCTAGTTCAGAGGGTTTTAGTTTTTAACCAAACTTGAATTGATGTCGAGCATAACTTATAGTATCGATATTTGTTTTGCTACATTGTCATTTTTTCCTAATGTTAAGAGCCTTAAATGATGAGCTCTATGATTTTCAAAGCCGTACTTTTTCCATATAAGGACATTTAAATAAATAGAGTCAGAATAAAACACAGGATAAGATTCCTCGGAAGTTATAATGTGAGTGGACCAGAAATAGTTTGAATCCAGTTTGCTTGAAGCTGTGCTTACAGAGTATGTCTACATACAACTTTGGATGAGGCAGCTGCACTATGAAATTAATGAGCAATTTGAGATGAAAGCAAAGACAGTTTAGATTAGTGTATGAAGAACAGCTTTTATATGAAAATATCAAGATAGAATTAGTGATTAAACCAGAAGACTTTATATACTTGAAAGAGATGGGAATCATGTACTTTTTTTCCCCAACTTTATAAGTGAGGGGATATTGAATATGAGACATTTGGTGATGTATTTAGGGTTCAGGCCAAGAAGGAATAATTTTCTCTTAGTTAAAAACTGTCTCCAGTGAAGTATGCATGCTCTCATGCATATGTATTGCCAAAAATAAAAACACAGGAAAATTTAGAGAAGACCAAAGTGGTTCTTTCCTTCTTGGTGACACAGTTATTCTTCATATGTGATGTAAAGTTGAGGATATTGATCTTATATCATAGTTATTTTTTCTTCAGAATTTTTTTAATAACAGAAAACGTGGAAAATGACTTTTATTTAAAGCAATTGCAAAGCAACTAATTTTCATGAGAGATTAACAGCTGAAATACTGTGGAATTCAGATTAGAAGCAAAATATCCTAGATGAATATTTATGTCAGATTTCCTATACTATGGCACCAACTAATACAGGTCTTATAAGATACAGAAAACTGTACATTTCTCAATAAGCTAAACCAGTTTTAATAATTATATATTTAAAATCAGTGAAAATGCTCTAATGAAATGCATTTATAAAGCTATCTCCTTATTTTAAAAAATTATTTGATAGGTCATTTTTTTAATTATTTTAATGGACAAAGACTTGGTATACTTACTTGCTCTAATCTGTACCATATGCGATCATTTTGCAGTAACTCTGGAAAAATCATTACATTATTTGTGTTTGTGGTTAACTTTTTAACAAGATGTAAGTTTATTGTGATATTAAGTTGCTTCCTACAGTTTAAAGTGCTATCAGCTACCAACATTTTCATGTTATTTTAGTTAACTAATTGTTTTATTCAAAAGAACTATAAATGGAGTTTGATAGATTTTTCCATTATCTTCATGACAGAAAACTGCAAAATATTCAAAACAAAACAGAACTTCTCCTCCCCAGCCTGTAACGCTCGCTTCTCCGTCTTGTGTTCTCAGAGCTACATCCACGGGAGCAGCCAGGCTCAGTTCGTGGCTGAGTCGCACATCATTCTGGTGCTGAGTATCCTTTGACCTGCCGACAGCACAGAGCCGGCGGCTGCCAGGTTATTTTTCCCTGGTAATAAATACCAGGACTTGTAAAATATAGGAAATTTTAAATTTGCTATGTGAAATTTTCTAATTCCTATGCTAATTATTTTCCATTATAATTTTTGTTTTTATTTTGAATCATTAACAGACTACAATTTTCTTTTTTCTTTACTGACTATCAAATTCCAAATTATAGCTTTTGCACTGCATTGATTATCTCTGGCTAGAGTTTAATCGTGAAGTTTGTGTGGTTTTCTCTGTAGGATCTTAATGGGGAGAAGAAAGTGTCCTTTGATGCTAAAATCAAGACGGAAAACACTGTTTTAGTGCTGGTTCCCTTAAATATTAGGATTAGTCAGAAGAGTATAGGATACTTGGAAATCTGTTTTTGGAACATACCAACTATTGTTTTGAAGCAGTTAATACAGTACAATTTATGGTTTGGAGGTAGACAGGCGAAGAGGAAAATAGATTAGGAAGGAGGTAAGGTTCAAGTGTCTAATTAAAAACAAAGGATACAGGGACAATGACTAAGGGGGGTGGAAATGGGAGGGAGGTGGGGAGCACGGGGTGGGGTGGGAGAAATAGACAGAAAACTGTACTTGAAAAATAATTAAATTTAAAAAATTAAAAAAAAAAACAAACGGAATATTCTTAGAACAAAGTTACTTTTTGTACAAACAACTGTATTTTGGAGGAGCACTAATGGTTGTGTGATTGTGTGAAGTTTTGACCTTGGACGTGAAGCTTCAGAAGAGAGATTCTAAGACTCCATTTTAATTGCAGTGTCTCTGAAACTCACTGAGCAATCACCGAGTCTTCCCCTGTCAGTTTTCAGCATGTTTGTTACTTCCACACTTGACCCCACAGACTCACTGCGTACGTGGAACAATACATATCCGTGGCCCATTTCTTGTCTGTCTTTAATCATCCATATCCTTCACGGCTTCAAAATTAAGAAGCTATTATGATGAGTTATTCTTGTCTTACTTTGGCTTGTAGATTGGATTTAGAAATACCTATATTTGAGTAAACATTCTCAAATGTTGTGATTATCATCAGTAACTACAAGGTTTCTGTGTTCCAACTTAAATATGGTAAGGGATTAATATTTTCTGCGTATCAGAGGGGCTTTAGGTGAGAAAATGAAATATTTACAGATATCTTTATAAGAACATCTCCATGATAAAAAGACATGGCAAGGTCATGTGTATTCTTACTTTATCTTTTAATTACATAAATGTATTTATGAAGCAAAATACATCTGTGTTAAAGTACCATAGTAAGAAACAAAGTATTTATTGCAGGTAATTTTTTAGTTCCTATTTATTCATATATTTTTTTCCTTTTTCTATCCTGTTTTGATGTATGATGTAGCATTTTAGCAGCATGTGTTACTCAAAGCAGCCAGTCCACTAAACACATCGGCAGTACCCAGTGAAAGGAACGAGAGCTTCACGGGATGGCAGGAATTCTCTAAGGTTTCACTTCATAGCTTATTGACATGATGTTGACATTTAGGATGCAAAGAAATTTTATAAACATGCAATCTTCTATGTAGGGCTTTCACAGTAATACATAAAACAATTATTAGCAGCCCCCATTCTCTTTATGTTACCAGTAATTATTTTTGCTTTATTTCTTATTTTATAGATATTTATGGAAAAGAAAATTTCTTTTAAAGTAGTCGACTTACTAAATTTATTGGTAAAAGTTAAAAAGAAGCCATTATATAATAATGTCTGATTTTACTTTTCTTTGGCAGAGTCTATTTTTTTAACTCACTGTATTTTTTGTCATTTATGTATATATTTTCCCTTATGCAAAAAAATTGTAAATTCCAGATGATTACTTTTTGTTTATCTATAGAGACCATTTCTGCCTTTTTTTCCCCCCTCCAAATTTAGTAAAGCCAGATGTGATTAGGTGCAATTGCTGTATATAAAATTTTGTTGGGAAAAACCTAAGGAAGCACAGAGGGAGTTGTTTGATGTCATAGATTGCAACCTTACATTTACTAAGAATGTGATTTTCCTCCCTACTAGTAGTGTTCATTTTCTCGGTGTCTTATTCGGGGTGAGGGAACAGTCCTGAGTAGTCAATGAGAGAAAACTGCTGTATTTTGCTGTGTATAATGTACAGTTTTCCGCCCAAATTTTAGGAAAAAATGAGGATGCACATTCTACATGGACAGTACCTGAAATACCTTGTATCTGTTCTTGTGTTTTGTAATTATCTGTTACATAAAATTTCTTGTACCATAATATGTTCAAAAATAAATGCTAAAATTCCTTTATAATACAAAAAACACATATCTAAATATAAATAAATAAACATTGAATTAAAAAATAAAGCGAAACATTTTTTTCCTGAAAGTTTGGGCCAAAAGGATGGCTGTACATTGTAAACATCAAAATATGGTATATAAATAAAAAGGATAAGAAACATTACTACATTTTAATGCAGAATGTGTGAACCGAGAACTTAATGTAATCCTTTATGTTCTCCCAGTAAAATTTCACTTTTCATTCAGTTATGTTTCCGTACCTGATGAAAATAAGACATCTGCTACTTATGAGAAAGTGACTGATAACTAGTTGTGGTGCGGCATGACAGGTGCGGAAACCAGTGCTGGGGGCAGCAAGGGGGGCGCACCTGGTGTCTAGAATGGTTGAGCTGACTCTTCTGCTGCGTTTTCATACAGTAGCAAAGTCCCTGTCAGAGACTAAGGAAGGGAGAATATTCCAGTAGGAGGTACAACAGGTAAAAAAAAAACCAAACATGAAATGAGGGAAAACAGTCACAGACTGTGAAGAGGGGATGGATGAGAAGTTACTTTGGTCAGATATTGGAAACCTACCTGCGCTTTGCTAAGAGATTCGGACCTTATCTGAATTCACCAAAATATGGTCTGCATGGGCCAGAGGATAGAGGACACGTAAGTCACTGGATTGGCTTTACTGCAAACTATAAAACTCTGACCCATCCCATAATTCCCCACATGCTTCAAGTTCGGAAATCTAAAGACGACGACATGGGTAAGTATCGGTTGGAAATAAAACTGCAAAGGTTATACTAGCAATAATACTTACAAGATATTTTAATATATTTTTTGTGAGATCACATTTGCTTTTCACTTGAGAAAACACTTGTTTTCCATTTATTATGAAAATGTTTTATTCTGCATTTGTTTTCAGTCTATGATAGAGAAAAATGTTTCTTTTAATGTGTTACGTATCCAAGGAAAATGATAGAAAATTAATGATAGCTGCAAATTGAAGATAATTTTAGATTTAGATACTGTTAAATCTTCTGTAATGGGGCTAATACATTTTTTCAACATCTGTTCTCATTTATCTTTAAATTGACAATTGTGATTCTCTTCCTAGGAGCGACAGTGAACTTAACATCATGTGCAATTGAGAATGAATCATAACGTAATACGAATGGGTTTGTTATTGGTTCAGTAGAATGCCCAGTGCCTTGGGGTATTGTGTGTAATTTACACAACTAGCAGCTTCTATCGTATGCGGGATCATGTCAGTATTTTAACTTTTTAAGCAATAAGATGATGGCAGGATCAGCAGAGAAAGTGTAGAGTCTACACAGTAGTTGAAATATGTATTGCTGTGATGTTAATACAGATGTGCAAAATTATTCACAAACTAGACCAGGGGATTTGTGGGGTAGTCATTAACAACCTTAGAACAACAGAACAAGTCTCAGAAAAATTACAGTTTATTCACCATACATTCACTCTCTTACCCTCTTCACTGGGGGAAGAGCGCACCAAACAGAAGAACAGCAAGTACACGGTTGCAAGGCAGAGGGGCTGTCTTGTTGGAAGAGCAAGGACAAGAACAAGAGCAAACAGGGTCTAGAAGGATAGGCAGTGGGTCAGGACACAAATCATGTGTGGCCTTGAGGCCATCTTGAGGTCTTTAGTTTTTACTGTAAATGAGGTGGAAAGTAGTGTTCTGAGTAGAAAATGACATAACTTCAATGCTATTAGAAGGCAGTATTCTTAAGACTCAGGGATAGGACTGAATTTCATCAGCGAGAAACAATAACCAAAATTTATAAATGAAAAGACTTCACAATTTTGCCGCATTAAAGGGAAAAGATAACAAATGACCTCATTAGCATTGCATTGTGAGTCATTTCTTTTTTTTCTCTCCCCTTGATTTACAACCAGCTAGACGCCCCTTACCAAACAGAAGTCCCTCTGTGCAGTACAGCAGGGCCCCTAGGAGATGCAGGCACCTGTGTATCAGAAAGTAGGTGGATGGGACCTCAGCTTGCTTCCCAGACATGGGGAAGGAACTAGACATGCAAGTCTACAAAGCTAAAGAAATGACCCATGCATAAAGACCTTCCCCAAGACATGTTATAGTGAAACCGTCAAAAACTGAGGATTAAAAAAAAATCATAAAGGTAGCCAGGGAAAATAAAGTAACCTTCAAAGAAACTGACATTTGGCAGTCATTGGATTTCTCAGCAGAAACTCTATATGTTAAGACAGAGTGGAATGACATATTCATATTATTGCAAGATAAAAATTGTCATCCAGGAATATTTTATCCAGCAAAGTTACGCTTTAGATGTGGAGAAATAAAGTCTCTCCCAGACAAAAGCTGGAGGAGTTAACCACCACTAGAGCTGCCGTACAAGAAATGTAGGAGAGTCCTTCCAGCTGAAATGAAAAGATGCTAATTAGTGACAAGCACACACACAAAATGAAAGCACACAAAACTCAGATATACTTGATGACTAGAATTAGAAAACTGTACATATATTAACCACTTGCATAAAGGTTAAAGGTAAAGAGCATTAAAATTATAAAAGCTGCAATTTGTTAAGGAATTCACAAATGGAAAAGAGGTATTTTCTGATGTCAAAAATATGAAAGGGGGGGAGTACTAAAAGGATGGAATCTTTATAAAAGAATGAAGATCATCTTTTTCTGCCGACAGCATCTCCATCTGAGATGATATATGTAAGCCTCACAAAAATCACAAGCAAAAACATAATAGAAAACATTTAAAAAATACAAAGGAAGACTCAACAAGTCACCATGGAAAACCACCAATTTACAAAAGCGAGTAGAAACAGGGAAAAGAAGCCCTTGAGATACACAGCAGTCACTGGGAGAAGATAACACGCAGTAGACAGTCCTTACATACCGATTATCATAATGTAAATGGATTAATTTAACAATCAGAAGGCACGGAGTAACCAGATGGATAAAGACATAGGCTCCAACTATATGCTGCCTGCAAGAGACTCATTTCACCTCTGAAGATAAACATAGGCTCAAAATGAGAAGATGGAAGAGAATATTCCAAGCAAGTAGAAACCAGAAGGGAGCTGGAGTACTACACTTAGATCAGACAAGATAGACTTCAAGCCAAAAACAGTAAGGAGACCAAGAAGGTAGCTATATAGTGAGAAAGGTTTCAGTACAGCAAGAAGGTAAAACAGCCGTAATACGTGCACTCCCAGCATTGGCGTATTGAGTGTCTTAAGCACATACTGACCGATATACTGGGAGAAACAGGCATCGCTCTAACAGGAGGGACTTCACTGCACCGCCATCAGCAGTGGGCGGGCCCTCCAGACAGAAACCCAACAAGGAAACATTGGTGTTGAATCACCCTTTAGACTAAAGATTTTTTAACTTAAAGAAGATCGAAATGAGATGAACTTTCTTTTTAACCTCACCCAAGGACGTACTTACTGATTTTTAGAGGAAGTAGAAGGGAGGGAGAGAGCAGGAGAGAAACATCAGTTGGTTACCTCTTGTACACTCCCCAGCCGGGACCCAACCCTCAGCCTAGGTGTGCGCCCCAACCAGAGATTGAACCTGCAGCCCTTCAGTTTAAGGGATGACGCTCTAACCAACTGAGCCACACTGGCCAAGGCCTAAGAGTTAGTCTTAAAAATACATAAATGAATAAAATTGACAAATCAGTTTGATTAACAAACAAAAAAGAAGACTCAACGGACATTACAGAAATACATAGGGTCATAAGACACTTCTGTGAACAATTATATATGCCAACAAATTATATAACCTAGAAGAAATTTATACATTGCTAGAAACACATCTACCGAGACTGAATCAGGAAGAAATAGATCTTGAATCTGTAATCAAAAACCTACCAACACAGGAAATCCTGGCATCAGATAGCTTCACTGGAAAATTCTACTAAACCTTTAAAGAAGAATTAATACTAGTCCTCCCCTAATTCTTCCAAGATTCTGAGGAGTAATGAACACTTCCAAACTCATTCTATGAGGCCAGCATTACCCTGCTATTGAAATCATATAGGGACACTACCAGAAATTCTCAAGAAAATATTGGTGAACCAATTTCAAAAATACATAAAAAGAATCACACAATGACCAAGCAAGATTCATCCCTGGGATGCAAGCATTTTTCAACCCACAAAAATCAGTAAATGTAATGAATAACATTAATAAACTGAAATAAAGTCACATTACATTAGCAGGTGCAGAAAAAGATTTCACAAAAATACAATATCCTTTCATGATAAAAACCCTCAGCAGACTGGCTGTAGTCAGAACATACTTTAACATAGTAAAGGCCACATATGAGAAATGCACAGCTAACAATGTAGAAAAAATGAAGGAGAAAACTTGAAATATTTTCCTCTGATATCAGGAACAAAGACAAGGATGTCCATTCTCACCACTCTTAGTCAACATAATACTGGAAGTCCTAACTAAAGCAATTAGGCAAGACAAAGAAATGAGAAGGCATCCAAATTGGAAATGAAGAAGTAAATTTGTTACAGTTTGCAGTTGATACCTTCTATGTAGAAAATCTCAAAGACTCAACCAACAAACTTGGAACCAATAAGGATTTCAGCAGCGTTGCAGGATACATAATCAGCTGCATGTCTATACGCTACTGATAAAATAGCTGAGAATGAGAAAAGTTAATTGCCCCATTCAAAATAGCATCAAGAAAAAAAGGCTTAGGGATGAATTTAACCAAGAAAGTGAAGGATTTATACAACAAAAACTACAAGTTCACTGAAAGAAATTGAAAGCAACACAAACAAATGGAAAGACATCCCTTATTCATGGAACTGGAGGAAATCATAGTGTTAAAATGCTATACTTCCAAAAGCCGTCTACAGATTTGGTGTGAATACCATCAAAATACACCAAATACATTTCTTACAGAAAGAAAAAGAAATTCCAAAATTCCATACAGAGCCACAGAAGGTCCCAGGTATTGCCAAAGCAGTCCTAAGGAAAGAAACAGAGGCAGGTATCCTGTTTCCAGATTTCAAAACTATACTCCAAAGCATAAAAGCAGTATGAAGAGGATATATTGTATGTACCTCCGTGTGCATTTTAATTTAACTATTCTGGGACAGAATGCGTGTTATTTTCGGGTCCAGAAAAATTAACAGATTTCGTGCACATTTCTACCATATCCTTGACAATCACTATAGATGCCGCCATCACCATGGGGATGGTTCTTCTAAATGAGGCAGCAACGTCCAAAGGAGATGTTGGGAAAAGACGGAGTAAGTTTTTGTGTCGGTGTTTTTGTCATTTTGTTTTAAACTTAAGAGTCACTTAAATCAAATGGGAACTATAAAAGTCCTCTGTAAACATAAACTTCTGAAGAAACGTTCTGGTTTGAGGAAGGTCACTGGGTTTTTTACTTTCTTCTACTTCTTACATCTGTGCAAATAAATAGAAGTATATTTCTTCTAGAATGGAGTGGGGTGATTTTCAGTGGAACTGCCCCTAAAGGAGAGCTGCTCTGCACCCTTGTCAGGGGCGCTGGGACCCATCTCTACTGAGGCTCCGGTCTCCATAGTAACAACATCCACCCTAGTGGCTGAGAAGGAAACTTCTGCGGGGGAGTCAGAGATTTTGTTGTCAAATGTTGTATCTTCTATGCCACAAAAATCAGTGTGCATTCAAAGACTGACTCAGGAAAAGTATTCTCATATGTTTGTACACTGAAATACAGTCATACCTTGGCAGTCGGCTTCAGAACCCCTCAGTCCCTGTACTCGTCGCATTTTGATGAGAAAAAAATGTTCAACACTCCACACTTCCTCAGGACTCACTGCACTTGCTAGACTTGTATGAGTCCCACACCGTCCTGCAAGGAAAATGCCTCATGGCTTGGTACTTGTCGGTGTCACCACGTGCCCTGGGCTCTGGGGTAATTAGTTCTGAGGAGTGACAAGCAAGGGACAATAGATGCATGTTATGTTGTCAAAATGTGACAAGTACCGGGTTTGACCAGTTCTGAAGCCGACAAGTACGGAGGTGTGACTACTTTCCCAATGACCTTCAGACCTCTACGTCCACGTTGTGAAAGGAAGCATGTCTTGGTGCTCTCGTTTCCAGTGACAGTCCAAGACGTAACAGTCCCACCACGTCTTAAACACAGCGTTGCGTCTTCAGTGACACTAACTTTAGTTGAGTTCTGATAACCCACTACCATGGGACCAGCCAGTGCTGCGTTTTTAGGCAGGTTGGTTGTTTTATCCTTTGATGAAACTCCTTCTCTCAGGCTTGTAGGAAAAATACCTTTTTTTGTAAAGTAACCAATTTTGGCAGGAAGTGGGCAAACACATGGGGAAAATATTACAGGAGAAGCTAGGCTGGGAAAGTACAGAAGTTCTTACGTGTCACTGTTAAATGAGAGGAATTTGGAAAACAACGAATGCATTATATTTTGGATTATCTGATTTGTTCCACCAGTATGTGTCGTGAACTATGAAATGTAAGTATACTGTAATTAATTTAATGCATTTCTAAAATATGGACATTTGGGTTGTGTGTATCTAGATATTAACAGTATTTTCTGTCTCTTTCTAGTAATTTGCCTAGTGGGGTTAGGCCTGGTGGTGTTCTTCTTCAGTTTTCTACTTTCAATATTTCGTTCCAAGTACCACGGCTATCCTTACAGGTAATATTATTATACTAACATGACCATCTTCCCTTTTAACTAATAGGATGAGCAGAGTGGTTAATCTGTGTTTAAGGATTGAAGTAAGGTAACTAACTCATTTGCTCGGAGACTCTAAACTCAGTTAAGCAAGTTTAGAGCACCTGCGGTATGTTCCACATAGATTATAACAGGAGAAGTAAGACGTGGCCCGTGTTTCCAGGCAGAGTGTAGTTTTTTTTAGAGGATACAGAGGCAGTGTGGTGATCAAGCCACACTACACCTTCCGGATGAGCATGTCCCTGGGGTCGTCCGTTTCATGCTGAGGTTTAGCCTGAAGCAGGAGCGCTGTGAAGGCACCTCTGTCTCTCTCCTGTGGTATCTGGGTAAAGAATACACTAACTCTGGTAATGATAACGTGCATGTGGAAATTGACTCTTAAGGACCGTTTTTCCGTATTGTTGTGTTTCCTCATGGTGTTTGGAAAGTGATCTGGACTCTGAGTGAGAAGATATGATTTGGACCGTGGCACTTTAAAACTATAACCTCAGGCAAGTGTTTTAATCTTTTCTGAGCCTCAGTTTTCCTCATCTTTCAAATGGCCATTTTTATCTCATGAGTACAAGTTACAGCAAATTAGTTTTACAAATGCAAAATAACATACTTGTGAGATCTCAAATTCCAGCCTTACCCATTTAGTACTTAGCTACTACAGGTATAATTCCTCAGATAAAAATTCCAGCTGCAGACTTGGACACATGGAATTAACCACTGAGCAAAAGCGGTACATATTTTAAACAGTAACATTTGTATACATGCATATGCCCTTCACTCCAAATAAAATAGAATTTCATTTGGTTACTTCTCTGCTTTATTACTTGAGGGAAGAAAGCCACACTGGAACTGTAGACAGAGTATATTCAGTTCTGCCCAGGAAAGCTGTAGTCAAATTCCTCTTCCCACAACAAACAATGTAAACTTTAACATCCCAGATAATAAAACAAAATACAAGTTTTCTAAATGTGTGCTAATATTTTAAATAAATATTTGATAATTTCGGAAATAAAGCCAAAGTCATTTTTATAGATTATTCAGAATCCAGTGTTTGGTTTGACTTTTGCCCCGCACTTTTCAGCCCCTCGAACCTCCAAACACGTAGTCTGAGCAGGCACTTACATCAGCGCGAGCTCTGCAGGGTCGTTCGTTTCCCCACGGAAATGCAGGTTTCTAACTGGCAGAAAGTCACTACGTGGCAGCCCACAGAAAGCAGGGGAGCTCCGAGAGTTCTCATCTGCATCCGCTTCTCCGCCTTACCCCACACGTGCTGAGTGCATTATTCTTTCTCCCCATTTCTGATGGTATCAAAGCTCTCCGTGTCCCTCTCTGTGTAGACTGTGTGCGGAAGTGGCCTTGGCAGCTGGTAGACTTGACATCGGCTACCCTGTGCCACGGTGGGTGACATAAAGGTTCTGATTGCTAAAGAGCTCTCCCTACTCCTAATAAAGCCCTGAATTCCTTTTGGCCTTTCTTTTTTAGGTCCTTTTCTTTTGACCTGAAGTCTTCTCTGGGATTAGTAACCTATTACAAAGAAGAAAGCCCAAGGCTTCTGGCTAAAGATGTCTGGCTAACAGCCTCTTATCCCCTTAGACCAGTTTTGAACATGGAGTGCAAGTTAACCAGTCCCGAAGACAGTGAACTATTGAGCTCCACTAACTACGAGGCAATGACATAGGGGTGAAAATTGAGCTAGCAGCTGATCCGTGCTGTGTAAAGCAGTCAAGTTTTTCCTCCCATCTGCACTTTTTTTGGATACCAAAATAAAAGCCAAGCAGCCAACCCTGAACCTGTGACAGTGTGCCCTAATGTCACTGTCACCACTACAGGAAGTTAAGATTGCACACAGGAGAATTCTGTCCAGCTGAGCATGTCAGTAGAAAACTTACCCAGCTCCCAGTTGGACAGCATTCATTCCTTCAAGAGCACTGACCCTGTCCTGGTGTGTAGCACAGCAAGAACAGAAAGAATAAGTAATTCTAGATAAGTAAAAACAAAAGTAAAAGCAGACCAGTGTTTGGTACCTTTTCAGCTTCTTTACAGGAGGAGAAAAGGAACAAACATTTTTTCATGTAATACAGGTCTCCAGTGACCACTAGGTAAGCAAACAGAGGTCTCTCCCTTCTGCGACCCACATAGCCTGTTCAGAGTTGACCAGTTCCTCTGAAGTGTGACACCGCGGACCTGGCAACACAACACTCCCATGCCTTTCTTTTAGATGATTCTCGGTCCAATGTACTCGTCAAATTCTGACCCTGTACCATGTGCAAAAACAGCCTCGTCTCCGCTTCCACCCTTGTTTCTCCTCTTCTCCCCACTTCCCCTGAGACACCATTATTCCCACAACTCAGACACCTTGGAGTCACTTTGGCCTCCGTCACTCTCTGCCCCCAGTGCTGCTGCCGGGACTGCTGTGCACAGTGTCTCGTTCACACTGCTGCCCGGCCTCCTAACTCAGCTCCCTGAGTGGCAGCCATCACCGTCTGTGAGCCAGCCCTTACCCTAGAGTAACGTACGGTCATTCCAGTCCACGCAGACTGTGTTGCTGCTTCTCCACAGTCTATTAAGGCCAAGGATAAAGAAGAGAGAAAAGTCAGTACCTGTTCCTTCCAGAAGATGCAGATGAGCGAGATGAAGAAAATGAAGTTTTCGTAATCCTAACACCCAGATTATCGATGTTGACAGTTAGGCTTGTGTGTATGTGGAACCCAGGAAAGGATTATACCATATATTTTATAAGCCGGTTTTCCTTTCCCATGAGTGTATTTCAGTGTCAACTGTTCTACACTAGATTTTACTAGCTGTGTAGTAATACCTTTGTACAAGTCCCCTTAGTTTTTGTTTAACTTTCCATCTGTCTCTTCCTATGGCGCCGCCTTCAGGGTGCCCCCTGGCCTCCTGCAGGGTCAGCCACCACTGCGTGGGCTGACCCACCGGCTGCCCACTCTTGAGTGCCACGTAAACTAAGAACGGTTTTGATCATTGTAAATTTTTGGAAAAAAGTATTTTGTGACATGTAAAAATTATATACAATTCAGTGTCCATGAGCTAAGTGTTATTGGTGCACAGCCAGAGTCGCGTATGTATTGTCTATGGCTACTTTTGCACAAAAAACAGCGTAGTTCAGTAGTTTTGACAGATAAATGGCTCACAAAGTTTAAATCAGCCCCTGGCCTTCCACAGACTGGCTGACTGCTGGTCAGCCGCACAGACTGCCCGATCAGTCCCATACCCTGCTACCTCTCTTTGGTCAGCCCCTTCGGCCTAGGCTGCTGTCCGCGTTTTACATTTTCTCAGTGTCAGAGCTGTGCTTTGTCGGCTTGCGTTTGAACCCCTATAACACCTGCCATCGTGTCACATTTGTCACTGTGTTACTCTGAATCACGCCCACGCCATTCTCCCCTGTGCACGGTGCTCTTCTACAAGTAGATGCCCAGTAAGTCTCTGCTGAACACTGATCCCAACTAACTGTTTTGGACCTGAATTTGAGAAAAGAACTATCACTTTCAATAATGTTCTCTAGGAAAACTTATTTAGAATTTCAAATAACAACCTTGCTAACACTTTCAGAATAGCACTCCTAAACAAATCAAGGGCAACACTTTTATCTAAATCCTGAATGTTTGCTCTTGTGGGGAGAAATTAGGAGAGAGCCAGACTTAAAAAAGAGCCGTGTTTTGAGACCCTCATTCCATTCCTTCTTTGTATACATAGTGCCCCTCTGCCTTCCAGATGTACTGGGAGCAATCATTAAGCTATGCAAACTAGAAGGGAATTAATTGCAGCCCTTTTAAGCCAGGAGAGGGGAGACTCTGGGCACATCTGGCTGGTTTTGGGCTGCGGTCTAATCTCCCTCTGTACAGTTCACTACCCCTGCTGAGTAGCGCCCATCTTACATTGCTACCCAAGTCAAACTTGACCATGCACGTACCCACTTCAGAATACGCCAGTCATTAGTCAGTGCTGCGCATTGCACTCTATCCTGAACTGTAATGAGATCATGACAGCGGGTGGGGAGGAGGCCAGACAGAAGCTGATAATGAGGTCAGGGCAGGGCAGAGAGGAGTCCAGACAGAAGCTGACAGCGGCACCCAAGGCAGCTTCTCTCTGCTGAAACAGACTGCAGCGCTCCGGAGCACTTTCCAGAGAAGAGGAACGTAGTCAGTTTGCAGTATTCTTGACAGTTTTTAAGTATGACAAAAAAAGCATTGTGTTATGTTATTATGATAAGCATTCAGAAAGGTAGTACCTAAACACAGTTAGCAGCATATGAGAACTGTTAGATTTTACAAAGTTATTAGACAAGTAAATGTGCAAAGATGAAAAAAATGTGTGTCAGACGCTGACAGACAGAAACAAGAGACTGTTCTCTTGAGTGATGATGGACTCAGGATAAAACTTTCATAATGGAACACGCATTGGACATTTAATGTTTCTGTAATGGAGATAAAAGTCAAACAGAAGCTACTGAATCATTGCCTAGAGAATAATAGCTCATACTGTGCTAAACAACATTTTAACTAACAAAACATTTTTGACACTGGTAATTCACATCTTCCCAGTGTCTTGAACAAACACTCGTCAAGAAGGTTTTATACCTCTTTTTGGGAAAAAAGATAATTTTAAATGTAAAAGAGTAAGAAGTGTTCTGTTAGATTTATCATATTATAGGACCATTAATAAAAGGTTTTTTTATTTTAGCCTTAGTTTAAGACTAAGTACATGTTTGTTTTTTCATAATAAAATATAAAAATATTTTGTAACAGGTTTTAAAAAAATAATTAAGTATTTTAGTTTGGAAAGACCCCTCACATGAACAATACCAGGACAGCTAAGCATTTTAGGCTATTTCAGTGATAAGAAAATACAAAGATCCTTTTACTTTCTGAATGTAGCAACATGTAAAAGTCGTAGACCCTTTTAAGCTTCCTAGCACCCAAAAAAGTTAGGAAGTATAAAATCACAAAGGGTCATATTACTATTTTTGCTTTTATCTTGGTAATATTTTTAGCAATGATAAAAGGTGATCTTGTAATGATCCATAGCTTTGAAATGATCAGACCAGGCCTTTAAATTAAAAACTCTCATTTTCTTTAAATTATAGTTTTTCCTACATTAATTACAGTTAAAAATATTTTTTATGATCAAGTTTTCTGTTTTCGTTATCCCTTATTCTTTAGTTAGCTTTATCTTCTGGGCCTGCTTATTACTGAAGACAGAAACAAGTTCATTTACACGTCACAGGTCTAGCTGCTTCGCTGTTGGTGTTGTTGAGGATTTGGGGATTGAACAGCGACTGGAGCCTCAAATGCTCATCTTTCCAGGGAGATGGCTGCGCCTGCAGGACTTCAGTCAGGGCTTGCCTTGAAGCAGTGTCTTGTTGCTTCTGAATCTCAGTGCATGATTTCTATCTTTTAATGATTTCTCAGACACAGGTACACAGTTATTTTAGTTTGCATTGCATACTTTATTCAAAATATATAACAACTATAGATCACATTTTATAATAAAATATTTTAGAGTATATATTTACTTTTATCACAGTAACACTAAGATGATAAGTATTACCACTGGAAAGAACTTGGGAGAGCATCCAAAACAAGCGTTCCTTCACTAATGAGGAAGCCGAGGTTCAGAAAGACAAAGCAGTTTATGCCTGGGATGTTGTAACTTAAACACCCCAATATTAAACTTACTAACTACATAGCTTTTCAACTATATTAACCACTACTTTCATTTTTTTTAATATTTAGTTGAAAGTTGGTTTGTCTCTTGATGGTCCTACAAAGTTATGTCGTCAAGACTTAAAATTGCCACCTTAGTGGAAAGGCACAGATATCAAACAAAAACTATTTGTGTTCTGTATTAAAGCTTTTCTTGGGGAAGTTCAAAAAGAAAAATAATAGTTATCTTTTACTTTTATTTCTGTATGGACAAGTATCTGTGTGTTGTTTCATCAGAATCTGGTAAAAGTTTTATTATGGCTTTTTTATGCATATTTCGTGGTTATTCAATGATATTATTAATTTAATGCAAATGATCAAGTGTTTATATTAAGTAAGTGAATTATAAATATTTTCTTTAAGACACAGCAGTTACCTGCTTTACATGTTTATTGTAATGCCTTTCCTTTATTTCCGCCACACTGCCAGGGTAAATGGCGGTTTAACCCTCAGTCTGGCCGCCTAGGAGAGCAGCTTGCAAAGGTGCCTTATCCAGACTCAGCCACCGCAGGTTCAAGTTCTTGTCAGTGTCTGTGCCCACCCTGTCCTGTACTCAACACAAGCCTAACCCCATCACAGGAACTAGTTCAAAGAAATTACCTGGACATGAATATTAGAATGAGATGAATTTAATTATGACATTTTTGTTATATTGACACATACTAATTTAGAATGGAAAAAACAGCGTACTGTGTTATTCTCACTTGCACATATATAATTCTTTCTTTTTCAGCTTTTTAATTAAATGAAGCCAGTGGGATTTCCATGCAGTGAAAGTTTACCATGAAGATAACGTGTTCATGACATACTATGAATTCTTCAGTTCGTTCCCATGTAGATTGTGATATTCTAGCTTATTCTTGTATAATTTTTTAAGTGTGAGATTTCCTAGTAATTTATAGAAATGGATGGTGAAATCTAATGTTATCACAGGAAAGAACAAAGGAAACCATGTGTTTTCAAGCATTATCATATTCAGTGTGTGCTGTAGGATTGAAATAAATGACAGTGTATCAATTCCTGCTTTAGAACTGTTCACTTACTAGTAAAGAAAACCACCGTGTTAGTAAGGGAAAACTAAGAAATGTATGTTAATAAATCCTAGGGCTGTACAGAGATAGTGTATATGCATGAAACTATGTCATGTTCTCAGAAATTGTATTTATTGCGGTTTCAGTGTAAAGGGTGTGTATGGTCACATACAGTGTTTTGTTCTTACAAATAATAACTACAGAAAGGTGTATAGGACAGGACACTGGATAAACAGTACCTGCGACTTGGATGCCTCACCAGGGAAAGGGAGATTTTTTCCCAGTTTATAAATCTAAAGCGAAGGTGACTAAGCCAACGTGCCACTGAGGCATCAGACAACGGAAGCAGTGCCCCGGGACTGGGAGTTAATTCCTCTTCAGCTTTGGAAGTGCCACCCTGGAATCCAGACTTGTCACCCCAAAACTAGTGCACCAAGGCCCTTTTCTCCTGGCGTGGTGTGGAAGCAGCTGGCCATTCCCGGTACGAGGGGGGAATGAAGCCTTTCTGACACCAAATATAGGAGTGACCATTACGATGTTTGCATATTCTGTTTCTTGCTTATAGAGCACCTTCGCATATGTTATTTTTTTCAACAATTCTGTAAATTAGACAGGAAATGTAAATTTTGTTGGACATATTAAGTATTTACAAGCTGAATGCCAAAAAATTTAAAAACGGCTCGTAGCTAGGCTTTTACACTCGCAAACCTGAGTTTTCATTCCTGTGGTGCTACCCAAAGAAGGAACAAGAAACAGTGAGTTCAGTAAGCTTTTTGTTTTTCCTCCTAAAGCTTTGTTACCTAATTTTCGTTAGGATCCAAATACTAGACCAAGAACAAATTCAGCAGCTGTATCCTCCAAGAGGAGGAGCCAGTGCACACCCACTGCACACCCTCACTCTGCACCCGGGAAGTTCAGTTAGGAATGGAGACTGAAGGCCCACCCGGCAGAGTGCGTCACGGCCCAGGGAAACGTGCGTGCTTGCGGGGTGGAACCTCTCTTCCCAAACATGGTGATACTCAGCAGGGAAGGCTACTGAAAATTCGGAAATATGTTAAACTTCTCTATCTCCAGATCTGTCGTTAAAAATCATTATTCCCCCTAATTCCTATTCAAAAATTAATATTTACTATTGGAATGGCATTTATGGAAGAGCAATGAGCGATCTCAGCCATTTGTTTAATGCCTGTCCCCTAGGTAGCATTTGACCCATAAATCTTAATCTATGGAGTCTTTTTCCCATGTCCTAAAGTCCATTCAGAACAGACATTGCCATTGGAGTTTGGGGCCAAATCCTACAAATAATAAGCATATGTTTATCAATTATAATTACTCGTGTTTGTCCTCTTAAAGCTCAAAGTTTGTATCTTCCGGTTTGTATACAATTGACCAAGTGATATTAACACGTTTGCTCTCCCTATAAAGCTTAATAGTGTGTAGTTGTGAACACAGTCGGCTCTCAGACATCGTGACCCAGGGAAAAGGGACTTCCCTATTCCATGTTAGGAAAAGGTTTGTAGCCTAAATGATATAATTTTCTCTGAATATTAAATATCTGCCACTATCAAAACAATGATTTCAGAATTCTATAGTTTAAAAAGCTATTGATTCTTTGTAGTCAGTGGTTATGTTAGGGAAGTGATTCCAGAGGGAAATAAACTGCCTCCAGATTAGTTGCTGGTAAGTTCTATCGGAAAAACTCCAAAACACATGTGGGCTTATATGTATATAGTCAGTCAGTTTTTGAATGCAATGCACAAAATCTCATACATGATGTATGACATCTTTACTTTCGCCAAACAGTTTAAATAGAAAAATTCATTTATATCTGATGTTATATCCTCCAAAGTCACTTTTCAACCAGATTCACTATAGTAAAGACTCCCTTAAAAACTGATTGTATGTTTAGTTTTAAAAAATTACTTTCCTACTAAGTTGGAGAGAAAAGTCCTAATATGAACTTCCATCAAAAGGAGTTTCATTTTACACTAACATCTGATCAATAACATGTTGCTTTTTGCCAAGCACACTGTTCCTCGCGTTAGGTGTTCACTTGAGTAAGCCCAGCAGTGTCCTTATGTTTACTGTCATTTTCTTCTGCATGTAAAGTAATATCCCTTGTGAGCAAGCATGGTGATTTGGAGAGATTAGATTTTGTCACCATAGAGACTGACAAGTATTTCTTGCTATTACGGGAACCATCCTAAGTTGCATGAAGAGAGTGGTTATTCTAATCGAGGCATGACATACTGTTTTACAATCAGTGAAGTTAAACACTGTGTTTTAAGAAGGACTCGTGATACACATTACGTGTATCAAGGGGTGAACACATTAGCTAGAGCATCCAGGGACAAAGCATTTGAATGAGTTCTTTGAGACTTAATGTTCCTCCAAGTCCACAGAGCTCACTAAGTTTAAAATATGAAAACAATGTTTTTCATTCTCTAACAAGAAGCTGTACTTGGTCAGACCAATAATATAGCTTATAGTATTTTTTCTAATAGTAAGAAAAGGGTAACAAAGTAGCTGATCACACTCAAAGAATACTAGTATGTGCATATTAGCCCCTAAATTATCTTATTTAATTTATGAGCATCTAACATAGGAATTTTGTATACTCCTTTTATTAGTCTTTAAATGCCTGAAATATACAGATGTTTATATCATGTAATTAGAGAGTTCTAAGTATTTATACAGTTTTAATAAAGCATCACACATTCAGACTATAATAGGAAAATGTGACATTCACCTAAATGTTGGTGTATGTAAATTAGGCATATATGTCAATGAAAATGGTAGAGTGAGGAACTATAGGGACTCACTCCCACCTTACAAACACTAGGCAGTGGGGGAAGCCTAGCCAAAACTGTCAGAATAAATTTTGTTGAAAGTCTGGAAAATAGTACAAAGTTTACAGGAACCAAGTGAATGCTTCAGCCATAGAAAGGCAACTGAAACCCCATAGTACAACTTAATGGCATTGCATCTAACTCTTTCCATCCCCTGCTCCCTGGCCAGCAGTGGTTTTGAGAACCGGCAGTCTGTACTACTGGTGCGAGTGTGTAGTTCTAGGGGGAGCCAGGTGGACCTCGTGCCCCTGGGATCCTGTTTGCCCTGACCTGCCTGGAGATTCCCAGTAGGACTGATGCACGGGGCCTGCCTTTGTCTCACCTAACTCAGGAAGATGGGAGAGTGGCTGTGCAGAGGGGCATTTCTCGAAAACATCAGCAGGTCAAAGAGCACGCTGCTGACTGGGGCAAAAGGGCAGTTGGGACAGACAGTTGGGACACAGGCGACTAAGACCTGGGAGGAAAGCTGTGCAGTGAAATACTTTGGAAAGTAAGGGCTTTGGAAAGCTCCCACATGTTCCAAGGAATCTAGAAGGACATGCCCACACACCCAGGGCAGGGCGCATACTCAGGAAGACCTGAGAAGACCCTAAGCTTTTACCGCCTCGCCGACCTTTAGACCCAGCCCACACAGGAAGTGCAGGCTGGGGCAGTGTTGTAAACACTGTGGCTACGTGTTGAAGGAGCGCTCCGCACCACACCAATCAGGAAAGACCGGGAGAGGGCTTTCTTTTGTTTTATTTTTCTTTTTATATCCAGGCATTTAAGGAAAGTTCTGTCAGACCACTCAGTGCCCACTAGAATAATGATGAAACTTTATAGATTACGCATGGCAAATAATGGTTTTTACAAGGAGTTGAAGAGTTACTACATGACCACATCCCACAACAAGCAAAAACTAACTCTGGGGGAGGAGAATTCGATTTCCAAAGTTGCCACAATATTTGGAATGGCCAGTTTAAATAAAAAGGAGCAATATACAAAGAGGAATTCAAAGGAACAAAATGTTATCCATTCGCAGGAAAGAGAAATGAACAGAAACTGTTCTCCAGAAGCAGACGGTGGACTTAACAAATAGCTTGACCATATTTAATATACTCAAAGAACTAAAGGAAACAGACAATTCTCACCAAATACAGGATATTAATAAAGAAATGGGGATTATAAGTCAAGGAGTCATATACAAATTCTGAAGTTGAACAATACCATAGAAATGAAAGTTTCACTAAAGGTGCTCAAGAGAAGAGGCAAAAGAATAAATCAGAGAATTTGAAGCTAGCTTGATTGAACTGGTGTAGTCTGAGGAGAAAAAGAAAAGGAAGAAGAACGAACAGAGCCTAAGACGTCACACGCCATGAGCACACCAGTGTGTAATAATGGGATTCCCAGAGTGAAGGGGATAGAGACAAGGACAGAAAGAATATTTGGAGAAATGATGTTCAAATACTTTATATTTGAAAATAAAAAGCATGCATCTAATATGCAAGGAGCTCAAACTCCAAGTAAATGTGGAAAAGCTCTACAAGCAAATTATAATGAAACTGTTGAAAGATAAAGACTTTAAAGCAGCTAGAGAGAAGTAATTTGACATGTAAAGGAGTCCTCAGTAGGATCAGTAACTGACTTCATTATGCAGGAAGGCATTTTTAAAGCGCTAAATAACTGTCATCCAAGAATTCTATATCTAGCAAGACTATCCTTAAAATATGAAGAGTGTAGAGCAGTTTCATCCACAGAAAAAGCATGAGATAGCCTAAAAATCCCCAACAGGGCTAATGAGTTCAAGTATTTCTCCAAGCCACTCAATAGAGAGAAAACAGAGGATGTAAATACAGCTTCAAAAGCAAAACAGCAACAAGACTCCATGGAAACAAAATAGCAAGGAAACATGATGTGAAAGAAAACTATTTTCTAATGAATTTTAAATTGCCTGACAAAGAAAATAATTGTTTTAAGGAAATTCAGAGAGGTACAAAAGAATAAATAGTCAAGTCAGGAAAACAATATGTGGACAAATAAGAAGTTCAACAGAGAAAGAAATAAACCGAACCAAAATTATGGAGTAGAAGAATACAATGAATGAAAAAAAGAATAGAGTGTCAACAACAGACTAGATCAAGCAGAAGAATCTGAACTCAAAGATGAATCATTTCAAATTATGTAGTCATAAAATTTTAAAAAGTCTATGGATTATGGCACTATCAAGCAAAACAAATTATGGGCATATCAGAAGAAGAAATAGAGGCAAAAAGCTTATTTAAAGAAATAATGACTGGACAAATTTAGAAGCAATTTGGGTATCTATGTTCATGAAGCTTTTAACTCCTGAGATTCAACCTGAGGAGGTCTTTATTCAGATACAATATTACAAAGCTGTCAAAAATCAAGGTACTTTTGAAAGCAGCAGAGGAAACTCATACAGGGAACTCCGTAAGGCTGTAAGTAGATTTCCCAGCAGAAATCCTGCAAACCAGGAGAAAGTAGGATAGAATTAGAAGGGGCCCTGAAGAGTGAAAACTATTGAAAAAGATGAACAAATTTGGAAGGCTCACACATCCTAATTTTAAAACTTGCTACAGTGCTACAGAAAAAACATTGGTACTGACAAGTACAGGTACCAAATATAGATACTGGCGTAAGGATAAATACATAGATGAACGGAAGAAAAGATGCATAATTCTTCATGACCTTGGATTGTGTCACTGTTCTTAGGTATGACACCACAAACACAAGCAACAAAAGAAAATAAATTTGACTTCATCAGAATTAAAAGCTTGTACATCAAAGGACATTATCCAGAGAGTGGAAAGACAATCCGTAGAGAAGATACTTGTAAATCGAACACAAGGACCTAATATTCAGAATAGAAACAGTTGTACAAATCATCAACAAAAAGACAAAGTCTTAATTTAAAAAATGGTTGTACTGGCTGGAATTGTATCCCCCCCCCCCAAGAAGGTATGTTGAAGTCCTAATACCAGTACCTCAGGGTGGCTTACTTGGAAATAGAGTTGTTGCCGGTGTAGTTAGTTCAGATGCGGTCATACCGGAATAAGGTGCGCCCAAATCCAATATGACCTGAGTCCTTACACAAATGCAGGCACATGAGGACAGACAGGGAAGAGCCCATAGGAAGAGAGGATTGGCATGATGTATCTATAATGCAGGCTATGGAACACCAAAGATTGCCAGAAAAACACCAGCATCCAGGAATAGGCAAGGAAGGGTTCCCATGAAGATTTCACAGGGAGCATGGCCCTGCCAACACCTTGATTTTGAACTTCTAACCTCCAAAACATTGTGACCATGTATTTGTCACATGTTATCCAGTTTGTGGTGCTTTGTTACAGTGGACTGGAAAACTAATACAGTGGGCACAGGACTTGAGTGGACTCTACAGCAAAGATACACAGATGGCCATCCCATGAAAAGATGTTCAGTGTCATTAGTTATTAGGGAAATGCTTATCAAAATCCCTATCAGGTACCACCTTGTGCCCCGAGAAGGGCCATAACTTAAAAAGGAAAATAACAAGTGTTGACCAGGATGTGGAGGGAAAGGGGACTCTTAGACAAACTGTGGGAATATCAAATGAATAAACTGCTTTGAAGACAGTTTAATTGTTTTTCTGTCTCTATGAATTAAAGATGTAATTACCATGTAACCCAGCAATCCCACTCCTAGGTATAAAGTCCAAAGAACTGAACACAGGTGGTCAAACAAACCATATGCTTAAATGTACATAGCAGTGCCCTTTATCATCACCAGCAGGCAGGACAACTCAAATGACCATCAGCTGATGAGGGGATAAGTGAAGAATCTTGCTGATGCATGTTACAGCATGTGTGAACCTGGAAACCACTATGCCAAGTGAAAGGAGCCAAATAAGGAAATCCATAGAGAGCTAGAAAGCAGATGAGTGGTTGCCAGAAGCTTAGGGCAGGAGAAGGATGAGAAGGGACAACCTAATGGGTTTGTGGTGACGAAAATATTCTGGAACTAGGTTGTATTGATTGTTGTATAACATTGTGAATGTACTTAATGTTGCTGAATTATAGTGAATAAAATTGTTAAAATGATACAATAAAATTGTTAAAATGATACATTTTGTATTTATTTTACCACTACCACCAAGAAATTACACATGAAGCTATTTAAAATATGGCACACTACAACTAATGTTAGTGAAGAAGACTCACCCTATTAATCTGGTCTTCCGGTGTCTCATTAGGTTCATCACAACAAAATGTGTAGGTTTGCAGGTACGTACATACAGGGGTGTGTATAAATATCTACACCAGTAAAAGGCAACTTTTCAACCCTTTGAGGAAGGGAGTCATGGCCCCTGAATGTGCCTTTTTCCTGCCATGTTAAACCTTTCTGTAGCAATAAAGAGGTTGAACAGCATGGAAAAAAGAAAATGGGCAGAAAGCAAGATCAACCAAAGCAGAAAAAGAAAGCAAATTAAAATGATGGGAAATGAGGTTAATTGATGGCTTTTCAATGCTTAAGTTTTACAGTATAGTTTTTCAATAAAGAAAAGATATGCTTTCCTAACTCCCTACTTTTCGAATGCATAATGGATTCTGAATGTTGAAACACCGTTAGCTGATCTCCCTGCTTGGGCCGTAGCCTTGAAGGTCTTAACCAGGGACGGCTTTGACATCGGCCGCTTTTTTGTAGGTAATAAGACAAGCTTTTCCCTTCATTTACATTTTTTAAATTTCTGCTGCCTGATTTTTATTTCTGATCATGTAGCTACACTGTTTTTCTGTGACCCCTCAGGGAAGAAGGTATTTCTGTATTTAGCATATTTTTAGTTCCCATTAGGAAAGAACGAATATCCTAAAAATGTGAGCACACAGTTTACTGTTCCCAGGAGAGAGGGGTGTTGCTTGACACCCAGGTGATGCTGTTTTTGAAGCATCTTGGCAACACTGGATTTGTCAATGTGCGCTTCTCAAAGTTCAGTCCTGCTGTATCTCAAAATGCATGATTTAGAGTATAGTCACTCTATACTGTGTATAGTGGCCCGTGTATAGTTATTTATATTAGTTTCAACTCAGTTTTTAACCTTCTCTGTGTTACCATTATTTAGTGTTTAAGAAGTATTAAAATGTGATATCACGGCATTAGAATTTCAAATCAATTTTTAACACTGGAGCAATTTTTAGTAATATTTTTGTCTCATTCCATTGGCAATGAGCAATATTATCATGTAAATACTTTTTCATAAATCATTTTACATGCTACCATTGCAAAATACAGTTTATAGCCTTCTTGGATATTATAAATAATATGCAAAATGGTATCTTCCAGTGGATTCCATAAATCTCTATAAGATCAAACGTACTATTATGTGAAAAGAACAAAGTAACATGGAAAAAAATGAGGCTGAAGTGTTAGTTAAATGTAACACTGTTATACTTTCACGTTCATTATAAAACTATTGAACTTCTGGATGGTGCTATGTCTGCCTTTAGAACAAGGTAGTGGCACTGTATGTACCTAGGACTGGCTGGGTGTGAAATCTATAGAATACAAGGTCTGTCCAGAAGGCATCCAGCCATGAAATATGGAAAAGAGAGATATTTACTGAAGATATAAGAAACATCGTACACAGGACAGTGACGCCTCCGGTCCCTTCAAAGTAGGCATCTTGGGACCACACACAGTTCTCCCCATCACCATCAGCTGCCCTGTCATATTTTCCTGAATCTCACTGATGGTCTGAAACCTCTTCCCTTTCAAAGGTGATTTTAGTTTTGGGAAATGCCGGGAGTTTCCGGGAACCAAATCTGGGCTGTATGTACAGAGACTGATTCGACTGGGTGATTTGGTGTTTCAGTAAGAAACTGAATGAGACGTGAGTGGAAATGTGGTCATGATGAAGCTGCCCATCACCAGGTGCCCACAGCTGCAGCCCTCTGAACCACCCAAATAGTTTCCATGGAGGAATGTTCAAGCTTCACGCAAAAGTTGGTGCGGGTCCGTTGCTCTTCCCACTCAGTCATTTTGAATGCGACAGCCGCACAGTATAGCATGTATGCATGGTCACCCGACAACATCTACCACCCCCACTCACTAGTACAGTGAAATCGCCATCATTCACACAGGCACATCAATGTCATGCAAACTGTTCTTGTTATATTAACAATGGCTGGAGTTCTTCCAGACAGACCGTACATATTTTATCCATTTATTTCAAGTCTCACAAAGTTTTTCTAGCTGGACTCTTAGAAGAAATAGGAGGCACAAAAGCAGAGACTTTCTGGCCCTGTCTTAGAAAGTGAAATGGAATACTACATCAAATAAAGGATAAGGTAACTCTGCTTAAATCTCCAACTTTCTGTCTTAACAGAATACAACTCAGAGAATGTGTACCGACACCCCAGAAATTACCAAGTACCATGATTACCTTCACCCCCTCTTTGGAGGGTAAGAGGTGTTACCACCTAGTCCAAAAGATGAAACACCTACATGGTTTCTGTGACTTCCCTGCAGCCCGCATTTCCCCAGCTTCAGTCCTCATTCCTCATAGAGGGAGATTTGATTTTACCATGTGTAAAATTGGTGCCAGAACACGTGTTAATAGAAGATATACATCTCTATGTATGTTGCTTAAATAAAAGCTTGAAAATATAATTCAGTTTTGCACTCTGCTAGTTATTAGTGGGTACAAAGAGGAAAAACAGCCTCGGGCTCAAGCAGAAATAAAGTATATAAATAGTTTTTCTTTTTGACATGACACCTACTTTTGAAGTGTTTACACGTAAATTATCCCATTTGATCCTGAGAGATTTTTATAGTTGATAATGCAAAAGCTCGACAATTGATGGACTGTGGTGCCCATCAGCTGTTAACAATTCATCCTGTTTTCTTCTCTTTGAAATTCTCTTTTCAGATATCACAAACACACAAAAAGTGTAAAAGCACAGCTCTTAAAAATTAAGGCTATTGATACACAGTTTTGTCAGTATCTTCAAGGAATTAGCATAACTTCAGTGTAAATGGACCATCTTAGAAATGATCAAAAAATCTGTCCGGATCTTTGAAACAAACAGAGCACTGAAGGGCATCTTCATTTCCCTCTCCTTGCCCCTAACAAGCCCAATGTGCCCTCACATCAGAGACCCAACTGAGACCGTCGGGCACAAAAACCATCCAACATCCCCCTTGCTCCCAACTTTGGAATTAGGACTTGCTTCACCCACCTGACCTCCACAAGGGCCTGATTAACTACACTTATTCTGGAAACTATAATTAGCATTAAGGTAACAACGACCTAAAGTGACAAAGGGAAGGTGTTACCAGTAGCAGAAACCATTTTTCCCAAAAATATTTTCTCTTTAGGGTCCTAGGAATAACAGACAAGACGATGAGGCAGAGAGATCTTTGGGCTGTAATACTAGATGCTACTGATTAATCAGAACCCGCTATGCCCAGGGACTGCATTCAAGCCTGACTCAAAGCAAACAGCTATTAACGAAGACTTTATAAATGCAAGCATTTTTGCCCCTCTGTCCTGTACCCAACATGTATCACCACGCTGAGCACAGTGTAAAAGGTGGCTTATGCCATTCGTCTGAAACCACTATTCACCTACATTTTATACCCAATAAAGGGAGTGTATATTTCCAAATATATCAATACTTTCCTCCAAATGTGTCCTTATAGAAAGGGTACTCTAACTAGTCACAGTCTAATGTGATTATCTGGAAATAAACAGTAAAGAAACTCTTTTTGCAGATCATTCTGACTTGAGTTGTTAGATATGGAACAATGACGACAGAATGAGGCATTCAGATGTTTCTGTCTTTCTGAGTTTACATTAATTCTATTGGAAAATTACTAAACCTTAAGATTTTTTAATTCACTGTAATATCATCCCAGCTGGAGCTGGGATATTGTGTTTCACTTATTTTCATATATATCATAAAAAGTACCAGGACCAGTCTACCCTTAGCATTATCTTTTTTCCTTGATACTTCTAGCAAAACAATAATGGCACGCTGCTTCAGATGATCTCGAAACACTGATCCATGGGCCCACAGGGAAGCCCGTGTGTCATATCATCCCAACGTGAGAAACCAGGCCCTTGAACAGAGGGTACACAGCCCCATGAACAGGGCTGTGAAAAGGATGGGTAGGGAGGATTGGGTATCAGTCCTACAGAAACCCTGAAATTAGAACACACACTGTCAAAAGAACCCCGATTTCTATTTTTAATGAGTTGTGAGTAATTTAATAAAAAAATATCAGAGAGCCTATGAATAACTTCTGTTACACACGCACGAGATGACACCAAAGTCTCGAAGAAAAAACAGTCATCAAATAGTATATTTATCACAGAAAGAGTGGAAAGGCATTGGAACATTGGGGATACTAGTTTGCAAAAGGTTTAATTATTCACCTGTAGATGCCAAACTCATAACTTACCATCTATTTATAAAGATGTTCTGAGGAGAGTCACCATATGTTCAAAAGATGCAGCAAAAGCCACACATCAAAAAGTATGTTGTAATATTTAAACAAAAAGTTTCATTCTCTAAGCCAATTTCTTTTATCCTTGCTCTCAATGTGTTGGAAGAAAACATTATTTCTTTCTAATTATTAAATTCCCTTCAGTCTTTTCTTGTCCACAAAATATGTATAATCTCAGTTTTCTTTAATAAAGTTTGCTTTTCCGCTTAAAAAAATAATTTATGCAGATGCTCACGTCTTCTGTCTCCATCTCTATTTCCACCTTATCTGAATGCACCTTTTTAGTGAGCACCAGCTCTGCCTTGGAAGTCATAATGTCCTTAGGGCCAAGAGTTTATATCCCAGGTGTTGGGTGGGACCTCTCTGGAATGGTTTAAAGAAACAGACATACCTTTAGCTTCCATAGATTTCCATCAGGGCTGGACTTCTGCCACTATCCCTACACCAATGGGCGTAAGTCACTTGGAGACTGGAGCACCGGCATCCCCTAGAAAAAGTATGAAACAGAGGTCAGGGATGTAGAGAACAAAAGGAGCAGCACACACCCTTGCTCAGGGAATCCACTATTTCTGGGACCTGTTGGTGGGTCTTCTGGAATTCAAGAGTGTCAGTAAAAG